AAAAAAAAAAAAAAAAAAAAAAACCTTTCAAAGCAATCACAGAAATTTAGGAGGGAACAAGCTGTTAGACTTACTATTCTAGCTGCTTTCTCTTTTCAATCAGGAGAGGTCAATGTAGCAAAAGTGATGGTGTGATTGTAGTAATTGCTACGGGACTTGTGCCAGCTCCAGAATCACCTGCAGGAGAGCAAAAGAGACTAAGCAGTACAGGCTTTAGCACAAGCTAGCAAGCTGAATACGAGGGCTCCTGTGAAAATACTCTGCTTGCTAGCTTAGGCTGAAACCCAAGCCACTGCCTCTTATCTGTGAAGATTGCCTCAGGTGGCTAAATTAAACTAGCACAGATAGGCAGAGTTGGGCTAGTCACACCTTTGCATCCCTGTATGACCCAGAGGAAGAATCCAGGCGCTGCACAGATTCTTCTTGAAGCCACACAAACTGTGCACCTAGATGCAAATGGCAGTAACAATGCAAGTCACAGCTGAAGTGCCTCAACATAATACACATTTCTCTCTGAACAGTCATTCCTTGTTATATGTACTTTACAGACACTCCAACCCCTCCAGTCCCAAGAATCTCAAGTTGACATAGAAAAGGAATTTCCAGTGCTTGTGAGAACCAACACCTACAGAATAACATCCTCTTCAGGAGGAGCAGTGTGGGCTCTTCAAACAGCATGCCTCTGCCCTGGGCTAGGTGAAACTGCTTCTAAAGGTGAGAGCAGGTCGCTTTCTCAACCTGTTCAGTTCTTGGCCTCTAATGAAACATCTCAGTGAGGCACCAGTTGGGATACCATGACTAAAGCGGCAAGCAGTTGTTTCTGACCATGGTCAGTACTAGATGCTCCAGTGGAAGGTACAAGAAACCCACTAGTGAACAATCAAAGGACATCTACCACTGGAAAACAAATAAAAGGTTCTTTTCTAAGCCTACTGTTTAGTGCTTCTTCTCAAAAATCCTCTTTAACCTAACCATGGCAGCTCTCGTTAGCCGTGTGTCTTGCTTGAATCCTATTAAACTTTCAAGGTGTTCAGATTGTAGCCATATTGGACTCGAGGCAAAAGGAATCAAAACTCATGGAAGAGGTGATCTCTTTTATTAGACCAACTAGATATTTACAAACAAATTATTTTATTTGCAAGCTTTTGGGAGTGCTCACCCTTCATCAGGCATAGGAGAGACAGAGACTGTAAAAATTCTCCTGGGTAGAAATGAAAATTCCTATTTCACAGGAGCCCTGAAGGTATGGTAAAGTCTCCTGTTTGGAATAGTTCATTTTGTCGAGGTTAGGCACAGAGAATTTGATTAAACTTTCAATACACCCTAGCCACACTTGCACAGGCCTCACTTTTAGTGAGAAGGCATGGATATAGATAGACAATTTTGTTACTATTAAAAAATGCCATTGTAAGCTATTACAATGCGTAAATTAACCTGTGCGATCCTGCAGTGATACAGGTGTAGCTAACAGTTGCACCTCTAACCGTGTTTTGTTCAGGGTTTAAGTGGGAGCAATTCAGTAACTTTGCATTACTGTGGGACCATGCAGATGTAATCATTACATCGTAACAGGTGATGTGGGTTCCTGAGTGCTGCCTCTCCTTCTAAAGAGGTTAAAAGGTGCATTTGTTCAGGCCCTACAGGCTACTAAAATAGAACAGAATTATCTTGCACTGCCAAGCCTGCACTCAACATGTTGGACAAGAACTGCGTACAAAAGTGTGCGTCAGATAAGCGGTGGCAGATCCCCAAGAATGGTGCACTTAACATGAGCTCTGGAATGGTCCCGGAAGAGTTCCACTGACAAGTTTCAGATGACAATTTCTCTTACAAAAAGCTAAGCATACCTCATGCTGGAAATACTCAAGCCTTCTCCTTGGTGTGTGCATGGTTTTAACTCTTCATATTTAGGGTACAAGGAAATGTTTCTCTTGAACAGAGCAAACTATTCAGTCTCTTCCTCTTTTTACTTTTAACACAATAGCAAGGCTATAAGCACTGTTTATTTACTAGCTGCTGATTCAGACCACAGATTTATGGGAGCAAGCGGAGTGTCACCATTAAAGCACATTATGGTTTCAGTCTTACAAACTGCTGATTGAAATTGAAAGAATTTTAGGTTGCTCCAACTGGCAAAACACTTGACTCAATAATTCCTGCATTCAGGCTCTTCCATATTCCTAAAGCATTCTCCTTTTGGGCTAAAATTACTTCTACATGAAGATCAACCTGATTATTTCCTTAAAGTCATTTTCTTTTAAGTACACAACACGACAGCCTGAGGCAAAATCCACTGAGGTGACTGCATGTATTTTATCAACTTCATTATGTATCTTGCAATGGGCCCTATGAAATCAGATCACAGACACTGGAAAATAAAAACTGGCAAATGTACAAAAGAAAGATGAATGCTTAAATTGCAATAGCCATTTATATTTTCTCTCACAGGTTTCGCCAAAAAATTCCCCAACAAAACAACTGAGACAGGAAATCAGGTTTTCAATGTTTCAGGGCTTTATTGGGGGGTGGGGGGGAAATCTGCTTTCTGTAGAAACGCTGTAAAAAAAATGGAACACCTGAAAACTGACATGTCAGAAATGTTCCCATGATGCTTCCTCTCTATGTTGTCTGAATGCTTCAACCAGATTACATTTTCCATGATACATGATGACTATGGGACTCCATAAATACACTGCAGGAACTCAGCCAAAGGCGAGACAGTGGTCCATCTTGAAAACATAGTCTGGGTGGTAGTAAAACCCAGGAAGGAAAATGTGCAAAGACACCTGAACAATAAATTGTCTGTAACACTGCAATTGCATTTCTGAAGAGATCTATTTTGGCTTTTTCACTATAAGTTTGACGTTTTCCATTGAGAGCATCAATAAAAACTTTTATTTTTATTGAAAATGTCCACCGTGAGTGGACCCTCCCTCCTCCCCAACAGGTTTCCCGGCTAGTTCTTGTTCCATGCCTACATTCAAATTTGTGGAAAAGCCACTGCTCTACAGGACTATTGCCATATTAGGGTTACACAGAGATAAGATTATAAAACCAAGAAATGTTGAACATGGCTGTAATGCTGCTTGAGCTGGGATATATGTTACTGTGCTCTAGACAGTGGCTCATATACTTTTCTATCAATTAACTACACAACATCTTTAATGAAATGTGGAATAAATAATTTTGGGTTGCATTATGTAGGCACTATGATTAGAATAATAATACATGAAAAAAGGCTAAAACAAAAACAACAGGTAACTTGCATCTGAGGAGCAGCGGGACTCAGGTAAATTATGGCTTTGGAAACCTTTACCAAACCTTCTCTTTTCCCTTCTATCAAAGACAGGTAAGAGTGTTATGTTCAAGGATTATGCTTCCCCCCACCTCACTTCACTTTTGAGTATACTGATATCATGTTTTAATGCAAGTTACATAAGAGAGAGGCACTTGAAACAAAAGGACACAGCAGGGGAAACTGCAGCTAGAATTCACAAGGAAACTTGACAGGAAGTGGCTTGAGGCTGACCAGGTGAGAACCATAGTTTCTCACAACAGTACATACCACTTGCAGCAGCAGACAAGCTAGGTTATTCACTCAAATGGACTCTCTTGTAGGAAAGAGACTGAAGAGCTATAAAAAAATTGAGTTACAACAAAGAAGTCCTATATGCTGGAATTTGGTTGAAATGTCTCAACCCAACCCAACAAGGAAAACCTTGGAGTACGGCTGAAGGTGCTTTTCTGTTAGAAAAGGGATGGGCCTTCACCTTTGCTCCCAAAGGACAGACAGAAGCACTCCCTCTGTTAACTGCCCGCCCCTTGTAAACTGTCATGCTTTGAAAGCTTACATTATAAAAACAACTTCTCACTTTTACCATG